GCCGGTTTGCAATAAATAACACGTTCGCACATTTGCTGATTGCTGTCATGTTGTCACTATTTTACAATTCTTCTCTTTACTGATAGGCATATTTTTTTACATTGTAGTGCATCTGCTCTGAAACATTTAAAATAAACGGCTATTCAAACCATGTTTTGAGATCGGTGAATTAGTGAATTATCACAGTACTCATATTGACTCCCTGATCAAGCAAGTATAAGCTGCCAATTTTCTTTCGCGTCTCAGCCCCAAAAGGACAAAAAGTATGTCGCGTTACGGGAGAGCACTTTTAAATACTTGGTCTTTTTCATTTATATTAAAACAACAAATTATGTACGACTTCATGAATTCAATAACATGACGCGCGGTGATAATAATTTTGTACTCAGTTTGATCAACAGTTTAAATTCAAACYTATCGCGTAGCATGACTGGAGTCTTAACTTATGAAGACTCCAAAGAAAATAGAAACTTACTTTTATGATAAACWGTAGGATGTCTACAAATCTGGGAATTGAACTGGCCGTGTGCTCCCCATCTCCATGATATATCTTCAAAGAGCGGATGGATAGTGTGTTTGTTATAGGCCGAAATATATCACTATAATTTTTTCAACGATTGCATTTGAACTCGGAAGGTCTCACAGACAGAACAAAACGTTTGATTCGATGCTCCTGACTTTGTTTCTTCATTATTTTATACGCTTCAAACCTTCATTTCCCCTAAGTTTTGTATGTCTGAAGGACACAACCTCGTTCCTGGGTTTCACGTTTGGGTAAAACCGCCAACCGATGTCACTTCGGCTCAGMKTAATGRCGGATAKGAAAAAAMCGACTTTCAAAGCTCGATTTCTCCTGCTTTTCAATGATGTATCGATAAAAAAGATATGAGAAATACTTATTTGGATCTTCATAAAGAGGTATATGTACAAAAACAGCTCAAATTTGATGTTCGGTTTTCATCGACGTACCCGCACTTTAATGGTGACAAAAAGTCCGTGATCACTCAAGCGTAACCTGACAGTCCGTATGAAGTGTCAAATTCGACGAAAAGAGACCAGATTTAAAGACCTTTTGAAAAAATGCAATGATAATAAAGACAATCCTAAAAACCTACCATCGAATCTAAGAAATAAAATATATATGTGACCTTTTTGTGTATTCTTCGTGAGAAAATTTGAAAATCCAAGTTTGTGTATTTCCGACTTTGAAGAGTTTGAGTTGAGCATCAAAATAGCCAGGCGATCACAGGTAGCCCAAGCTAGGCATTTGTGTACTTTTTAGAAATATYCAAAATATAACAAAAACATCTCAACCTGTGTATTGTGTTGTTCTTTACATTTCTGTGAAGTTTCAGGCCATTTCCTTCAATTTTGAGCGATTTAYGCCTGTGGTTTTGATTGTTCTTATGAAGGCTATTGAAGCAAAAGCTATTGTCGAGAGTCCCAGAGTTTCTGAGAGCAAAATCCGAGATATTTTTTTCAAAGCTTTTTGCTTTTCTAATGACCGATAAACCTAATATATTCTTTTAAAAAAATGCCGTATTTGTCTTCTYTTTCGTCCTCTTCATTTATAACATATCAAAATATAAGCAAATGTCACCCGATGTATGTCAATAATAAGTTTGATATGATTCACCAATCAGCACTTCTATTTTATTTATATAACAAGAGTGCGTGTTTTATCGGGATATACGATATATATAAGATTCGATCGAGCCGCAGAATCGCTAGTCTATGCTATAGTGCATGTCTTCACATTGATTGAAACTGATTTAAAACCTAGCAAAGGTCTATGATGGGACATTAAAACTGAGACGTTTGCTATTGTTGGGTTGCGATAAAGCGTTATGACCTTGAACATCAGTTCTTTATATCTGATACAGAACTGATTAATAAAACATCAGTACGTTATCGGGATATAAAACCCCATCATGTGACCCAATAGTTCGATGCTYATTGGACTAATAGCTCATGAATCATTAATGAGTTCTAGAACGGGATATAAAGGCCAATCTTGTGACCCAATAGGCAGCATTAACTCTGGCGTTGTAGACGGCTTTGCATCATCAAAATGCATTTTATTATTTATAACGATGAAATGATATAAATGATGTCATTATGTTAAACCTTTAGTGATGAGTCATTTACCTTGTGACAGCCAAGACCAAAAATACGCTTAGTCCCGTCTTTTGGTTCATATTGCCGTGGAGTGAGTGTTGCTATGAAACCTAAAAATAACAAATAATTGTGTTTCGTTAGTGTTTTCTTTGTCCTTTTTTTGGAAGTCAAAATTTAATTTTCGGCGATTTATTATACAATGGCAAGACGGACGTAGTAAGTATAGAAAGCCATGTCCAAACAACATTATAGTTTACTCTTAATCCATCAAATTTGGTAACAGGGTAGGTAATGTTATGCCCCGCAAGTTGAATTTCAGAGTGCAATAGAGTAGTGATAAGACAATTTAAAGAGGGTGGGACAAAATTAAAGAGGCTAAGTGTCTACTAAAGACAAGGCTATTTTCAAAGGCAAGTATTCCAAATCGGGCAGTTAGTACAATAAAACGTTTGCTGAAGTCAGAAGGAATGTCACCTAGGCGCTCTTTCCTCCGAGTATATCTCACAGGAGACAAGTGACGTATCATGGAAACGAGACCTCAAATGCCTTTCATCGAGAAATCACTTCGAGGATCGCATGTATGTAGTGTCCAAAAGTTTGTGTGAAAGAAATCGCATTTGCGTGGATTAAAATTCCAAAATTTTCCAAAATGCCCCCGTACCCCGCTAAAAACTGGCCTTCGGCGCTCTTCAGGCCCCCACATAATCAACCGTTCCGTGGTCCCGGTCTGGCTATCACCTGTGATATCAACTTTATGTCACGGCATAGATATAATTGCTGATGCATTTAAAAAGTTGACTTGATCAAAGCCATCTATCATCGTTATGAAACAAGTTATGAAACAAGTTACAAAAATCACGTTTAGAGCATACTTTGTTCTTTTGCTTTTTCACGTTCGTTTTATATTATCTCTTGGAAATACTATTTCTCTTATTGAAATAACATTCTTCTTCATATGACATAATAAGATACATAAATAAATAAATATCATTGTACCGAAAAAATATTATACCGTGTTGACTTAAATTCACTAAGCAACTTTCGTGTTTGACTAATGCAGATATCAAGTTGTTTCTCAACAATAAGGAATCGTGGGACTAATTTATTCTCTTTTCTATAATTTGTGATTATTTAATTTTTCTATTATCTTAAAATATCCCTTATTGGGATTACAATTGCAGTATCCTGACAATATACTCTTATAATAAAAAAAATGATTATAATCGATCATAAATATACAAGACTTTATACAATGCTCCTTGACGAAGTTGAGCACTTAATGATTAGGAACTAACCGGAACATTCTTTGCCTTTTGTATTAGTACCAACTTTTCAGTATAGAAAAGTCGGAGTGGTTTTCAAACCCCATGAAATACACAACAGCGTATTTTACAACTTATAACACTTATTACCGTTTTTGATTATCTTTATTATTTGTGATTATACATTATCACTACACCTTATACAAGATCCTTTATGGATTCAGTTCGAATCCAGTTCGTTTTGAAAAATAAATCCGGTCGATTCGTGGATAAATGCGACAAAATAATTCTAAAACAAAGACTAATATGTATTTTCTAAAAACATGGATGTAGATGAGCGGAGTTTCAGCTTCTCGCCCACTGCAACCCCCTGGTTACGGGCCTGAATTCAATCTGCTTTGATGTAGTAAAACCAGCACTTCATGCTTAGATTCTAAAATAAGGCAACAAGGGTAAACTAGACAAAGGAATTCGAAATCGAATTGGCTTCAATTTTTTTTCAGATTTTGTTTAATTTTCTCAAATTTGGTAAATTTACTAAATATAACCTTATATGCTGTTTCACGGTTTCTGATCGATTTTGAATGCCTGAGTTACATATCTAGAGCTATACCTTTGCCGTATTTGCTCAGTTTGCGAATTAAGCTCAATTTTTTTTTATTTTGTACTTGCTTGAAACTCACATTTGTTAATAATGAATGCATCTAATTATGACTTTAAGACTGCCTTACTTAAACATCAAAGCCGACCGGTTAGCTCAGTAGGTAGAGCATCGGACTTTAGTGCGGGAGATCGCAGGTTCAAACCCCGGCCGGACCAACACTCAGGGTCTTAAAATAATTGAGGAGAAGTTGCTCCCTTTGTCTTTCTCCATCTGCAAATGGTAAGATCTTCTCGTCCTCTCGGATAACGACGTAAAATCGGAGGTCCCGTCTCTCTACACTTCACTCACTAACCTGTATTAGAGGGACGTTAAAGAACCCACACCACTGTTCGCATAAGAGTACTACTAACCCATACTAATTACTAACCCCTCATGATTGTAAGCCGCGTGGCTGCCAATTGCGCCTTAAACAGCGGTCCGTGTGAAATGATCTATACATGTGAAGCGCCTTTGGACTCAGGGGATATCGACGCTATATAAATACCACATATTATTATCATATTATTATATTATTAAAGCCTTACATAAGCAGCAGAGTATCCTTATGAGAGTCAACAATTCCCCTGCATTTTACCTACCTCTCTCCTCAGCTATCCTGAACCATTTGATTTTCTATAAAAAGACATTGCTTATATATTTACTGGGTAATATTTGTCCTGTCATCTTTCTAAACTAATCAAGACCAATAAAGACAAAATTAATATAATTTTCTGTTGATATTGCATGGATGTTTGACGATTGATGCGTATCGTCCTCTTTTTTAGACCGCGAAAACCGTAATAATTATATTTATCATATAATTATCTATGAAATACCTATATATTTCTCCATTGAAAGTGAAGTTGATATCTTCACTAGTGAAAATAACACATCCGAGGTTTCTCTATATAGTGAAAGTTAGAAAAAAGCTATTTTACGACATAATTTGCTTTCGTATACAATTATATGATAATACGCTCACTCGTGAGAGATCTTTTCAACACTCGAAGATAAAATCCGTATCYCCGCGCGCCCATGTAATATCCTCTATTTATTACTTCTAGAACTTTTCATGAAGACTGAGACCACTCCTTTACGACGGGATGATTATAAATTTGTAATGCGGCCAGATTAATGGGAACGGCTACAATGCTTAAACTTTCATACTTTTTTTAATTTTCATTTTTTTGTATAGATTTAAAAATAATGAACTACTTGCCATTTTCATCAACATTTCGGATTGATAAGTGATAGTAATAACAGATTCTAAACAAATGTTCATTTATATAGCGATGTATATTCAWATTATAAAAAGTACAAATATTTAGTAAATGTTCATATACTCTCCTAAAAAAGTAATAAAASCTAGCTTATACTGAGAAACCTAACTAGATAAAAGCTAGATAAAGCCGGGAATAAGTAAGAATGGACATTTTTTAATGAAGGGGTAGATATTTTCATAGTCGTGGATCGACTAACTATGGTGAGCCTTATGGTAGTGGGGCTTTGAAATGTAGCCTATACAGTATATGCAAAGCTCGATGTGGGAAGCACCCTTATGATACAAAATCATTATCGCGCGTGGATATCCAAGGCCATTCTGATCGTTGGAGTTAAGTGCATAGAATGAACGATTTACGAGCATGTCTTGACAATGTTTTCCAGATTTGATGCAGCGCCCACAATAAACTAAAAGAAATTAAAACTTTTAATAATGATATAGTGTAAATTACTTAGCAATGTTTGGCGATAGATGATATGATTATATTAGTCGTTATGCACTTAGCCCACTTGATTCATATTTACAACAAATAGTTTCTATGATTAATAAAACCAATTCTATTCTATT